TGGAAGCGAAAGGTGGGTGAAGTCGAAAGCGAGGTGGTGGTCGAAGACCAAGATGTAAACCAGGAAAACATGGTGTTCGTGCTGTTGATCACGAAGAGACGAAAGTGCAAAGAGATATCAAATGTAGAATAAACGAGAGGTGGTAGAGAGTAAGAGTGGGAGCTATAGTGGACTATTGGTGTCTGCCTTAGCACCACCTATGACGCACCCCGCCTTCGCCATAGGGTACAACTCAAAGACCATTCATTAATGTTCGCTCAAAATTCTCGACAAAATTCTCGACAATTTCCACGATTTATGGCCAAAGCTTAGGATATTCCAACTGCGCAGGACGCAGGCGAGGCAGTGGCAGCGGCCACAAAGCAAGCCTCAGATAGTGTGCCATCCACGTCCACCATTGGGTCATCATTCGGCCACTACAGCCCTGGAGAGCTAACGCCATTCCTGTATCCTAACATCGTCTCCTCGTCGGTTGGACTGGTTATCCATGTCGACGTCGACACATACCCGCCAAACACACGACAGCGGTCCAAACACCAAGGCCAAGGCGAAGGACACCAATGATAGAACCTGCATCGGATGCACTGAAGCCTTTGAAAAGGCCGAACAACGAGCACAAGAGCGTGAAAAGAAAAAGATTGCTCAACCATGGGTTCAACGCAAGGTCAGTGTCCAGTATACGCCTGGGCGGAGCATGGCGCGCTGATACGGCTCTCCGCCAGATGATGATCTTTATCGTACTAGCCCTATTTGGCTGGAGTAGTTATACATTTTTGGGGGTTATTCTCCGACGATGCTGGCAAAGAGCCCCAGATGCGCTCGTAGGGTTTGTGGCAGGAAGTCTGTATATTCCTCTATTGTCTAAATGCACGAATATGCTCACAGTCATCTATTTCGTCTTTTCAGTTGTATTGACGGTCGTATATGGTCTGCTATGGCTCATGTTCTTCCTGACTTACCTAAAGGTCGGTCTCCTTAAAAAGGGCAAGAACTCTGCTAATCTGCTTCAAACTCCAGATAATATTTACTCCACCCGGTTTTGCTCGAGATTATGTAGAGCCTTCTGAACCTCCCTTACCGTCGGATCCGCCACCCAACATCGACTCGTACTACCCCTCTTCCTTTGCTAGTACTCGACCGAGCCACGGAGTCGTCTATCCGCCGTCCAAGCAGCCACCAACCTCTGAATTTCGAACAAGTCTGGATGACCGATTGACCCATGAGACCCATAGTCTCAATGACCATGGAGAGTTTGCGATCACTCCTACAGAGCCGATTGGTGTGCCCTATGAATCCATGCCGTCCAAGCCAGGCCATAAAAGGAATGCAAGCAATAGCGCAATTCCCCCAACTACCCCGCGGCATGAACGTAATATATCGACATCAACTTCCCCTCCTTCTCCTACGACCCCAATTTCACCCTCTAAACCTTCTCTCTTGACAAAGAAGTCGAGAAAGGACTCCACATCATCTACTACCAAGCCCTCCGTCTTGGCGCACCCTAAGGAATCGTTCTCCTCGTCCCGCGTCTCAGCTGAAACAGCAACAGCGGGTGATGGAACCGCGAAGGCCGCGCAACGGCCCAATAAGCTTGTGCGCTCTGGTAGCGTAGGCAGTCGACCTGCTAATAATCTTTCGCCCCCTGCTTCACCCGGTATCCCCAGCTTTAGCCAAAGCGGGAACTCGCCCACCCACCGATCAGCGCCAGGGGTCCGATACGACTCTCGCGCATCAGAACCAACCCGTCCCACTCCTGCTATTCATCCACGGATGCGATCATATAGTCACACAAAGGCTACCCATATACCCAGTG